AGCTGATCGTGCGGCTGTAGGACCCGCGGGGCCGTGGCACCCCTGCTGGCGGAGGGACAGACAGCTGAGGGGGCACCTTCACGGTGGAAGGGGACGAGGGGTGGTGCTGCCCAGACCCTGCCTCCCCGGGGACTTTGGCCTGAGTGAGGCCCCAAGGGCTGGGGTGGAGGGGTGTCGCTGCCACCCTGCCCCTTGCACTGACGTGTCATGTCTTTTCTTCTTCCCTTTTTTGGTTTTTTTATTTAGAAATTTTATAAGCTGATGTACAGAAATTGGTTTTCTAGTTCACTTAACGCTACTTGAATCTTTATATGATCCAAAGTCTTCCTAAAACAGATTTATTTTTTTTTTTTACTATTTCTTTATGGGGGAAACTGGTTCCCTTTGAGGAAGGGGCAGTGGTGTGGGGAGGGGGCTGTACCCCTCCCCAGTACCACTCCCCCCACAGCTGCCCAGTGCTGCCCCTCCTCTGGACTGGGCTGGCAAACAGCTCCTACTCTAGCTGAAATCCCACCCCATGGGGCTGCAGAGGGAGTGGCAACAAAAATGCATGAAAAGGGAAAAAAATATTATATGTGCCTTGGGTGATCATCTGCCCCGGGGTCCAATGTGTGGCTGCCCCACCAGCGAGTGTGGGGCGTGGGCGCAGATGCTGTTTCCCCGAGGCAGAGGGACAAGGGTGCCCAGGGTCACCTGCTCCCAGAGCTGCTGCCTGGGGCTCAGGTGGACACAGGGGGGCCCTTGGAGGCAGGACTGGGGGCTGCAGGAAGGGGGGTGTCACCCAGTGCTCCATGTGAGTGGTTTTGGGGAACTCCCTGGAGGCACTGCCACCACGGGCTGTTGCAGAACTGAGGCTGCTCCTTGTCCTTATCTACTGGGTGCACCAACATCTTGACCTGTAAGTCCCAAACTGCCTGAGGGGCACTGGGAAAGAAAAACAGACAAAGGCAAACCTTGTTTCCCCAAGTCTGAGAGTAGTTGCAGGCAGATGCTGAAGCCCAGAGCCTCAAAGCCTCCACACTGCCCCTAATTGCCCCAAGCACCAACGACCTGAGTGCCTCCGGGGTGTTCCTGCTTGGATGGCAGCACAGAGCTGCTTCACAGATGTCCATGGCAGCAGAGGATGGGCAAAGACCATTAGGCAAAGACCTTGCTGCCAACCTGCTTCTCCCCGATATGCTCCAGGAAAGCCACCGAGATGCAGGACGGGGTGATGGTGGAAGTGCTGCTCATCAGTCATACCCTAGGGGATGTTTGCCTTCAGGCACAGGCCTGCAGAGAACCCCCTCCCAGGCCTTCCTGGGACACGCAGCCAGAGGTTTTCCGAGGGCACTGAGGTTTCTGAAAGGGGCCACGGGGGTTTTGGGAGGGCTGGGAATGGAGCGAGCCCCTGGAGCCCTTGGGAGCTGTGGGCAGAGCAGGTTTAGCTTGGCCCTGGTGCCCTCGCCTTTGTTAGCAAAGCCCCTGCGTGCTTCACCCCGAGCAAGGGTTTTTGGCAGAGCTTGGCAGTGATGGTGGTGCCATGCGTGGGGGAGTGGGGGCTGTGGGGTACCAGAAATGAGCACAGAGCCTTCTCCAGGCACCCCAGGGTGCTCCCACCTCTCCTGTGACACCCGGTCCCTAGAAAGGTGCTTTGCCACCCAGGCTCCTCTCCTGGTTTATAAGCAGGAGCCGCCTGCCCCTCCCTGGCCAGCAGCTCCCACCCGTGCAGTGGCCTCATCTCTGATCTCTGCCCTGTCTCTGCTCAGACACATCTCTGGTGAGGCCCCGACCTCCCCTTGCTCCGCTATCTCTACAAGACAAAGCCATCTCAAGCTGACCGTGGTACTAAACATTCAGTTTTTATAGAGCCCTCTTATCTCCCCAAACTGGGAGCAATCCTGCCTTTTTACCCCCAGGATGCAAGCCGTCCTTTCTACTTACCCGTGGAGATTGCTGCTGCCTGGTTAAGTGCAGGCAATGATGTATTCACCCGAACATTAAACTTTAACTGACCTCTCCTTCTCCTGTTGCTTTGTCCTGCGGCGAGGCCACGGGCAGCCCTGGGGGCAGGGTGATGGAGCAGGGGTGGCCTGGGGGCCATGGGAAATGGGTGGGAGCACAACAGGGAGCTACAGCGGTGTGAGGAATCTTGTGGTTGACGTGCAGGCAGGAAGAAAACTGCAGTCCTGCAGCATCTGCTGCTGGAAGGAGTGGGGGGATCGGTGGACAGCAGGAGTAGCAGCTTGGAGCATCCCTGGAGCACCTACCTCCAACCACCTCATCCCACAGCAGCTCCCAGGGGAGGAGGCACCTGCTGGTGGGTGTGCCGGGGCCTGTTGGAAGAACGTCCTGTTTTCCCTCCCCACCAAACACGGGGGTCTGGGGCAAATCTAGCAATCAAACCCTGGTTTTCCTTCCTCCCTTAAAAAAAAAGAAATCCTAGCAGGGCATTTTCCCCTGCTCTGAACAACCCTCCTTGCCCCAAAGCACTCAGCTGCCCTGCTGCTAACGAAGACAAACGATTTGGAGAGGCAGATCTGGGACCCTGGGAGCGGGAGGCTCCGTGCCCCACACTGCCTTCCTTGCAGCATGATGCAGAGAGCAGAGCCCCACCAAAGGACCTGGGCTGCTGTCCCCAGGCCCCTGCCATCGTGCACCAGACAGGACTGCAGGAGTTGGGAGTGGGACACACCCTAGAAACGCCAGGAGGCTTTTGGCAGAGCAGAGGCTGTGAAAGAAGCTGGGGATTTGCAGGCCAGCACTCCAGGTGGGACCTGAGCACCTTCTCCAGTATGTGGTGAAGCATCACGAGAAGCTTTCGAGGACCCAACTTTATAGATGCCTAAACAAACACACTGGAATTGATTTATAAACCCACAGGGTGTGTTTATCTCTTTTGCAGAGGGAGTGGGAGGTAATTAGATGGTAGCGTCTCTCTCGAGGCTGTCCCTGATGGGATTCACACCCCAAGGTGGCCAGCCAAGGGGAGGAGGAGGAGGAGGAGGACTAAAGCAGGTGGCAGAATTGACGTGCTGCTCCCAGCAGCTTTCTTTTAATTAAGTTCCAAAGTGCTCCTTGTAGCAGAGCAGGCAGCTCCTTCCACCCACAGCTGCCCATGCTCTCCTGCCTGGGGCAGCAGGGTGAGCCCAGGATCCCACCCTGCCTCTTCGAGCCCCCAGGCTTTTTGGTGAAAACCTGCATAAGCTGTTGCTGGTTTTAAACAGGAGGACAGATGGCCAGAGCATGGGCAATATTTGTCAGGGCTTTTCCCTTTCCCATTTTTATTGACTTTCTGCTTATCCCTGCTGCCAGGGGTCAGCCAGAGCTTGGGTGGACTTTCAGCAAAGTCCACCCAAAACAGCCAACTACTGACGCAGTGCCCTGCCCCTAAGATAAGGGGTTTGAAAGCTGGGTTGGCAGCCCAGTTGGGTGCATGGTGGTGGGGCTGGGGCTGCACCAGCTCCAAAGCTCTTCCCAAATAAGCAGGCTTGTGGAGCTAAGCTGCATTCTCCCTGCATCCAGCAAGGTGAGGGCAGTAAGAGCGGCTCAGCGTCAGACTGGAGGGTGGCTTGGCTGCCATGGAGGGACCCGTCCCAAGCCAGGACACCGTGCTGAGCGACACGGGGCCCTCCAGCACCATCAAACTGCTGCACCTGGTTTTCCTCTCCACCTCCTGGGGAACGCAGGTCTGGGTGACCTTCGTGGCCGGTAGGTCGTGGTCTGCGCACGCCGCCGTGGCCCCCTGCCCGGGGGGGGGGCCGGGGAAGGGGGTTTTGCCCCGGGACATACCTGCTCTGCTCCCTCGCAGGGTTCGTGATGGGCAGACACCTCCCTCG